GCTTGAGGTATTCGGCCAATCACAACGCACTGGATAGCTGGCCAATCACAGCACACCTCGCTTTTTCAGACCGATGAGCTTTGTAAAAATCGACGCGTTTCAAAAAGGCGGGGCATAGAGGAGAAACAATAATGTACAGTATGTGGAAAATAATGTGTTTTTTTAACTTTAAACCGCATAAACGCACTTCATTACACCAAATACACCAAATAATACACAATACACAAATACACAAGCCCATCTTGAAAGGCGGGGATCTTCTCCGACCTTAAAGGCCACACTCCAGAGACCCGCCCCAGTCGGTGGTTCGGTCAGATGCAGATGAAGATGTGAGAAAACGCTGCAGGATACCAAAGCATTGTGCCAGGCCTTTCGGCCTTGACTTTTCCATTCACCAAAGATTCTCTGACTCAAACTGGTTCTTTTCATCAACTAATTTCAGCAAGATCTTGGGCCTTAAGATTGCATCAGGAATCTCTTTCAGACAGCCGAGACTCGCAAGTATCAAACTTAGTCTTATTAATTGATACATTAAGTATCAGTTACACCTTTTTACAAAGGTGTGTTTGAACTCAGAATCTGACGTATCACTCAGGCTTAGATCTGTTGAATATGCAAATGGTTCCATAAATGTCATTCCTTATGTCTCTTTCTGTACTGAGCTAAACTTTAACCCTTTCCTATACCAACTGTATGTGTGTGTATGTGTATGTTAGACCAGTTTATGTGTTTATGTAGTATGTTGGACTAGTTTAAGTGTTTATGTAGTTAATAAAACCTTACTTGTATCACACTTGACGTGTTCATTGTTTGCTCATAACCGGAGTCACTAATCATGCAGATTTACGCTACAAGCTTTTGTAGAATTGTACAGTAAGAAAGTTATTTCCCTTAACCAGGAAATTAACGTTCTTAGAATTGACAAGACAGTTGACCCTGAGAGGTCAGCTAAATATCTACAGCGGATCTAAAATATTCATAATTAATCATAACTAGTTATGGTTAATTATTCATATTTCCTGTCATGAGCTGGTTCGTTACATAATAATGATAAAGATATGGAAACAGAGACACAAAGAATGGCTGAAAAGCAAAAATGAGCAACAGGCATAATTCCAACCCTTTCACGGCAGGGAAGGAAAACTCAAGAAAAGGTTTAATCACTGAAATGATGACTCTCTACTGCCTGCCTCCCAGAAAACCCATTGATATGGCTTCCCATGTCACCACTATCAAACAAACATCAGACATTTGTCTCTATGTGCTCATACACCTTCATTGGATAATGTGTTTTGAGCCGTGTGGCCGTGTGTTTTGAGTTTGAGTGTGTTTTGAGTTTGAGCTCCGTCAAGTTAATTCTTTGTCGTCTAATTTTTTTATCTTAAAATCAATTTTATACACCATCCTTTTCAGTTCTACAACGTGTGAATATATACCCTATCGTATTCTACAACAAAAACAATCAGAGCGCCTTGTTAGCACTAGTTCTATTTTTGACTTTCCGAGTCTGCTATTAGCATATAGCCCGCTAGCATCGCCAGCTTGGTTGCCGCTAATCTCGCTTACATTACTAATACTCTATTCACACACATCACCATTGTTTTACTCACTGCATTCGGTGCAGCTCGAGCTGGAGGCCGTGGAGAAGCAGATCCGTGACCTGGTGGTGAAGCAGACCCAGCTGAGAGAGCGGAGAGCCGCGCTGGAAACATCCCAGGCTGACGCTCACAAGTCCGAGGTAAGTATACAGGGCGCTGTTAACTCTCCCACCACCTCTACTCCGTTGATTGCAAATGATTGCAAAGATACTATTTAAACTGAACTGAGCTGGATGATGACATCACTGAATTCAATGATGAACTGTCTTTAACTGAAAAATTAGTGTTTACTATTGTCATTTTGCATTATTGATACACTATTTTCCTAATTAATGCTGTTCAGTTGCTTTGACACAATCTGTATTGTTAAAAGCGCTATATAAATAAAGGTGACTTGACTTGACTAGTGGGTGATTTTCAGAAGACCAAATCATAGACCGTGTTAGACAGAACAAAATAGTACAAAATTACAAAAAAAAGGAAAAGACATCACAATCATATAGGCAAATGTAGATGAGACACAGAAAGTCTAGTTCTTACCCACTTAATGTTGGCATGAAATGAAAATTTTCTTAATTCTTTATCTATTTTCTAAATTGTTATTATCTATTTTCTAGATTATATATAATATTTATTTATTTATTTATTTATTTATTTATTTTCTAAATATTGATCTTTTTGCAAATGATGTGTTACTTTTTTGGAAGCTCAATTTTTATTAATTTTTTTTCTTCATAATTTAGTGAAGAAGAAAAGATCTGTTGCTACTCCAGTTTAATTACCATTTCACGTCAACTAAAAAAAAAAAAAGTCACATACAAACCAAATAATCTGCAAACAGCTGCAAACAACTAAGACAGAGAACTCTGCATTTGTATTGTTTATATATCATACATGAAGGGCTGAATCATCAAATCTGCTGTAATTGAATCTCTAACAAAGATGAATACAAGAAAATATATTGAGATGCATAAAAATTTCTAAATGTACCACTCTGAACTGCCTGAGAACTGGCATTCACTAAAAAAAGATAACCACAAATGCCTTCTAGATCAAGCATGGAAAGACAGCAATAGTGCAAGTGAGGACAGAAAACAGTGATCATATCAATACTGCAACTAGAGAAGCGCTGTTCATAGACTATACACAAACCACAATCATCTGAGCCAAACCAAGAATATTTTGACAATTTCATTGGCCCTTGTTATCTCCGTTTATTAGAAACCTAAGCAGGGATAATTGTTTGGATCAAATCAATCACACTTCTGAATTGGCTCCTCCATCGAGAAATCCACAGATTTACTGTGTTTGAAGAAGCCTCACCACAAACTCTCACACACACACACAAAACGCTGGAAAGACCAGCATGCTACTGGAATATGAATGATAGTTGTGATAGAGTTTGTGTGTTCAATAGCTATAGTGTGTGATGCTGGAAATGGGAGATCTACTTCCATCCTGCTTTGAAACTAATGCTAAAATTGCTCATAACAATCAAGTTCTAATCATTTAAACATAATACAGTGAAGCTTAAAGTGCTGGTGCACCAAACAAGATATATACACAGGTAAAGTGGAACATCACAAACTACTGTTTATAATTTTAGGGTTAGTAAGATTTTCAAATGTGTTTGAAAGATGTCTCTTACGCTCACCAAGGATGCATTTATTTGATCAAAAAAATCCAGTAAAAACAACATTAATACAGTGAAATATTATTAAAATTTAAAGTAATTGTTTTCTATTATAACATATTTTCAAATGTAATTTGTTTATAAATGTAATTTATTTCTGGCAAAGCTGAATTATACTCCAGTCTTCAGTGTCACAGTTTATAGATGTCTTCACTGTCACTTTTAAATAAAATATTTTAATAAAATGATTGCTAATAAAAGTATTAATTTCTTTCAAAAAAGTGAAATCTTACTGACCCCAAAGTCAATAAATAAATAAATATATAAAGTAAATAAATTCTTACCTTCTGAAAAAAATCCTCTCCTCCATTTATCCTCCCCTCACTGGCCGCTATGTGAGAAAAAGAGAGAGACATTTACATTACCATTAGCAAGAGACACTTTTATTTTACAATTATTTCTGTTCACTAACATGTTTAACTTCCTAAAGTAAAAATATTTTTTAAACGTACACCGTTCAAACTAGGCTGCTTATGTTGAAGTGTTTGGGATGTGGCTTTTAATGATGAGCCCTTTTTTGTAATCAGGCTCTCAAAAAGTATATAACAATTTGGATATAGATTTATCGGCCAACATATCGGTTATCGGCTTTCAAAAATAAAGAATAATCGGTTATCGGTATCGGCCAAAATTTTCATATCGGTGCATCCCTACTAAACGATATTTAAGCAATAAGGTATGAGAAGCCATGCTATATTTGAATGAATAACATTTTAAGGTTGCTGTCAGGGACAATATTAAAGATTTAATGCCAGACTCACATATTCAAGACGTATTTAAAGACAACCACAAAACACACATATAAGAATCAGGCAGCATTCTCACAACCTGCAGAAACTAAATGTATTTCATATGTCACGCACATGCTTGTCTATTACACACGCAAGCAGCTGTGTGCAAGCTCAGACTCATGCACTTAGTTATAGATGACAAAAAAACAGTTCATAAATCTTAATAAACACACTCACAGAATCCCACACAGGGTATGATGCTTGCCTTGCATATGGCTTATACATGTACAGCATGTGTCAAACCTGCTCTTTGACACTAGAAAAGGCCATTTAAACTCTACATCATTTTCCCAGCTGTTATCAGACTTCAGATCACTCAAATATGTAATTAAAGTGTGATGTTGAAAAAGGAAAACGTGCAAAGACTCCCAGTCAGGTGTGATGAAAACATTGGGTTCACAGGAAAATCTCAGAATTTGTTTGCTTTGGTGGGACGCTGGGTCTCCAGATGTTTGGTTGAGATTGTCCTATCACAAAATGAAACATTCTCGCAACATATGTGTCTACATAGAGGGCGATTCATCTAATAGCGCCAAGCCCTCTCCTGCACTCCTGCTTCTGCTTTACTTTTAAAGTTGAAATATGGATTTCATAAAGGTCAGAACAACAAACCCCAGAATGGGAGGAAATAAACGGTTTGGAAATGGGACAATCTTGTCATCTAAACCTCTTAATGACCCTAAAATCACAAAAAAGCACATCCACCCATCTCTCCATGAAATTCACTACATTTTCCAGATCCAAACAAGGAGAGGAAGAGCTACAATTACAAGAAGTGCCCATCTCATTACACCAAAGTTTGGTTTGATTTGAACCCTCCTTCACTTCACATCATTGCACAGACTAGTCAATGGAGCAATGCAGGAATTTAGATGGCAATGATGAAATTTACAGATTTATTTGGGGAAAAAAAGAAATGGTATCCTCACAATTTCTCAACAGTGTCTGGCATGTGGTGGAGAAGAGCGAGGGATGAAAACAACAGTGAGAGACAGAGAAGTGGTTTCAATCTTTGCGTTCCCAAAACAAAATCCATTAAAATACTTTCATTTATTGATTCCACTTAATTTTAAGCAGAAACACTTTGATTGTACCTGGTTTTAATAAACAAGTCATTTTCTAGGTAACATGCACAAATAGTGTTACAGATAAATAAATAAATACAATTCTTAAAACAGACCTTTTTTTTTTGGTTGCAATTTTTGCAACCCTGTTATACTAAAATCTGAGACATGTCTGTACAGTTTAATATGTATTTCTATGATTTTGTTATTTAACAATAAAAATCTCAATAGATAGATAGATTTTTAGTCAGAAAACCACTTCACACTTTCAATCACAATCAATCACACTTTAAAACTTTAAAAGCGCCATTCACATCACTGTAGCTCACACAAGTCTGATTTTGGGTGAAGTGAGGACAGAGGAAGACTGAGTTCACTCTCTGAAGTTGTGAAATCAGTGAAAGCTCACTTCACATCTCTCCTATCAGATGCTGTAAATTGAATCAACAGTTTCGTGAGATGTTTGGATGATGTCGTATCTCTGTAGCACGGATACACATGTGTTCATTCATCTGTAATGAGTACAGCATGCAACAGATTAACACCTCTGAACTAAACCTGGCCCCACTACTCGCACACTAGCACATAAATGCTTATAATTCCATGTTAACTTCAAAAATGTTACTTCAAAACACTCTTGATCCTCTTCTTCTGACAACTGAACTGAAACACATCCAATGGAAAACATGTACATACTCAGGCTCAGACAAATATGAAAATAGCAAGCCTCAAACCAGACAGAATGTTAAATGCAGTGTGTGTGTGTGTGTGTGTGTGTGTGTGTGTGTGTGGATTTCAGGCCTTTCCTGTGCTCTATTTAGGACGTGGGTCAGAAAAACTCCACAGCTTTTGAGTTTCTGAAAGATACAGCTTCACACACACGTCCAGAGCAGTGTTTGATTATAGCACAGCTCCTGTAAACTATGTGTGTGTTAGGAATGTGATGAATAAGCGAGTGTAAGAACAAAACTGTATAATTTGAGTGCATTTCTCCTGGATAATCCTGGAACTTCCCTTCAACTCCAGAGCTCAGTGAGTGGGCGAGACATCAGAGAAACTTACTCATGACCAGCATCTGGATTCAAATCTTATTCTTCACAATTAAGATTTGAAGCCATCTGTTCTGAAGTGATGTCACAACCTACATTACAGTTCAAAAGTTTGGGGTCAGTAAGATTTTTTCTTTTGGCAGAAATTAATAATTTTGTTCAGCAAGTAAATTATACTGTAAAGACATAATTTTACTAAAATGCTGCTCTTTTGACATTTTATATTTATCAAAGAATCTTTAAAAAGGTATTCATGGCTTCCACAAAAACACAAAGGTTTTTAACACTGACTTTAAAAAAAAATCCTTCATCACCAAATCAGCATATTAGAATGATTTCTGAAGTATCATGTGAAACTGAAAAAGTAATAGCTGCTATGCAGGTTTGGAATAATCACTGGAATAAATTGCATTTTAAAATATATGAAAATTAAAATCAGTTATTTTAAATTGTAATAACTTTTCACAATATATTCTTCTTTTATTGTTTTTCTCAACATATAAATGCAGCCTTGATGAGCAGAAGAGACTTCTTTCAAAAATCTTACCCAAACTTTTGGTAGTTCATGGTAGTGTATTCTGATTGGTTACATTAAGCTCTTACGACAGGAAACAAAAATCACGCTACATATAAGCGCAAGCATCTGGATTCAAATCTTATTCTTCACAATTAAGATTTGAAGCCATCTGTTCTGAAGTGATGTCACAACCTACATTACAGTTCAAAAGTTTGGGGTCAGTAAGATTTTTTCTTTTGGCAGAAATTAATAATTTTGTTCAGCAAGTAAATTATACTGTAAAGACATAATTTTACTAAAATGCTGCTCTTTTGACATTTTATATTTATCAAAGAATCTTTAAAAAGGTATTCATGGCTTCCACAAAAACACAAAGGTTTTTAACACTGACTTTAAAAAAAAATCCTTCATCACCAAATCAGCATATTAGAATGATTTCTGAAGTATCATGTGAAACTGAAAAAGTAATAGCTGCTATGCAGGTTTGGAATAATCACTGGAATAAATTGCATTTTAAAATATATGAAAATTAAAATCAGTTATTTTAAATTGTAATAACTTTTCACAATATATTCTTCTTTTATTGTTTTTCTCAACATATAAATGCAGCCTTGATGAGCAGAAGAGACTCTTTCAAAAATCTTACCCAAACTTTTGGTAGTTCATGGTAGTGTATTCTGATTGGTTACATCAAGCTCTTACGACAGGAAACAAAAATCACGCTACATATAAGCGCCCAGTCAATGCCCAAACTAAAGTACTCAGCCACTTGTGCAAATGATTCAGAGCTTTTATCTTCTCAGACAGTTTATGTGCAATGTCATAACTTGAGAATACACACACATGCCGCCGACACATCCATTGCAGACTGGTTGTACAATCTCCTGTAACATTTTCTTTTGCAACTTCTGAAAGCAAGCAGTCTGTATGAAAGGAAACTCAAAATATAAAGCTCAAGTGAAGCATCTGGTCATGTGAAACTAACACTTAGGTCCGAATGCCTCTCAGAAACAATGCTTACCACCACTAAAAGGTCGGCACAAGTCTGTGAAACTATTTAACATACGATGGAAAAATGGGGCAATAATCAGGCAATATGAACTGCAGAACTATTTGGGATTATAAAATACAGATGTGCTGAAAACACACTCAATACCTCTCCAAAGGTACTGAGTGAAAAGGATTTGTCTGTAATGTGAATTAAATAATGTGAACATCTCATCTCTCCATGACGATAAGGAACTTTATCCCTGTCTGACAGGTTATGAACACAGATGAGTTTCCAGCCAAACTAAAACTCTCCCAACATTTGGAGCATTTCTGCCAAACACTCATTTTAGTAATCCAATAGATCAGTTCTTTAAGATTTATTACCCAAGTCTGAAGCATTTCATAAAAAACAACGTAAAACCTGATGTATTAAACCCAAGACATAGATTTATATTTGTAAACATACAAACAGAAGTCTACTTGGAAGAAAACTGCATTAATATTGGCAGTGTAGGCATTTATAGCACTAGCAAAAATGGCCTGCCAGTTGAAACTGCCAAAAATAAATAAAAAAAATCAGCATACTGTTGTTGCATCTGTCAAACCATAAAACTCTTGCAACCAAGACAACACTACTTCAAAGTTAATTTTAATACTACAACGTGTGATTTATAATTCATAAATAAACATCAATATCTGATATATTGATTTATTGCTTAAATTTCTAAATTAAGACACACACGTGCCTTTAATATTCAAACTGTACATGTATGCACATAAAAAATCAAAATTCAAGGCAAAAGACCTGTGTTTCCCTGGCAACAGCGTGCTGAGCCATGAGCACATTCCCAAAACACAACGCACTTCCTGTTGCTTCACTCACCAACCCATACACATGCAGCACGTTAAGAATCATGCAG